TCGCTAGGCGGAATTTCGCCCGAACAATATTTTCCGCGCGGAGATTGGAAAGTACAATGCTGTCAACTTTGTTGCGGTGGAAAATGTCGCTGCGCGCGCAAAATTCTGCCTAATATTACTATCATTCTTAATACTCCTGTTTTATCTTTTTGCTTAGCAAATTTACTCGCGAAATCATAATATAAACCAGCAGCCTATTTCAAAACAATTTCGAGATAAAAGTTAGAACTTGAACTATTGAACTACACAACGATGTTTTTCATACGAACTACATTACATAGCATATATTGACCTATAATGACGTCATTGACAGTGTTCTCGCTAACAGGTATAAATTTATGTACAGCCCCAGCGAGTTAACGCTCAAAAGAGGTTCACTTTACGTGTTTTAAACCTGCTATTGCATGCTATTAGTTAAAGCGGATTTAGTTTACTAATATTTCATATAACAATTCACTTGGACCCTAAAATGCTCGCAGCAATCCCTACCTTGCAGGTAACCTAGTTCTTATGCTTATCTGTGATGCAATGAATTAAACTGATAGATATAGTTTGACTTAGCATTAAGGTGGCTCCCTACAGTTTTTCGAAAATTCTAATGCACATTTTAAACAGGGATATTCAACATCTAAACGTTTGACTAGAAGACTAAAATTTTATATAACTTTCTGGCAACATACCTAGAGTCGAAATCTATTCAAAACTTGTGCTCGGCAGCCGTTGCTATAGCAACAGAGACGTTCCAAAATGGCCGCTAAAAAGCCTTCTTCATGGTCGAGTATACCGGAAAACGGTACACTCCGCCATGGTTAAGTATACCGGAAAACGATATACTCGACCATGGTCGAATATACCGGAATATGGTGTTCCATGGTCGAATATGCTGAAAAACGGTATACTCGACCATGGTCGAATATACAAACACCAAAGAAAGAGATAAAATGGGCATAAATAAAAAATTTTCAAACCATTGTCTCTAGACAGCCAATAGAAAAAGCTTCGACTGACTGAGTTAAGTTTGAAATACCGACGTGCGTGAATAATAGTATTCACCTACCGGCACTTCTTTCTAAACGCATGAGTTCTATGGTTTCCACATCGTTTTCTTTTAAATGTTCCTTTTCAGGCTAAATTGAAAAGATTGAAAGCATATAATCTCTCGTTTGAAGGTCGTTCTCATAGAATTAAGTCCTATTCAAGTCTATATGGCCAAAACAGTCTCCAAACCTTGCATTTCTTATTTTTATCATTTCAGTTTTAAGAGTTTAATCTTAATTATCACCGTTTCATGTCTGCCAGAATAGTCAAAACATCCCCATGTAAAAGAGTCGTTCTGGAGTTGAACTTGACCCCAGTGTAAAAGTATTGAAATCTGCAGAAAATACTTAAAAGGCTTTTTCTCTTGTCTGTAGTACTCAATAGGGTGAATTTTTACTTCATGAAATTTAATGGCGAAATAATAATATAGAAATTATTTATAAGTTTGGCAACTAAAGATTTAGGTAATACCGTCATGGATTCCTCTTTTGGTCTATTGTGGGATCGTCTTCGCAGAAGCAGGTAAACAACCAGCCCGAGAGCAAAAAGAAGAACGAAACCTGCAACACTTCCTGGAATCTTTGCATCCAGGTCTGCTTGCCCTGCAGGAAGATTGGATAAAAACATAACTTCGGTCTTAAGAGAGGGCTTTTTTATAAACAATCGCTCGTGAGATGATACCAAAATGGAATAGAAACCTTATAGCTCGATTTTCTGATACCTAATACATGGTAACTTAGACAATAGATCTTTCCCCTTCTAGCTTTCAAGCGCGCAATGCGTGACGGTAGTTGATTATCAAGGTCAATTTGAGTTGTGATTTTGTCATGTTTAGAAGCGATTTAGTTTAATGAAGAAATAAAAAGAATCGGCAAGGTTTTCTTACAAACAAAATCGCTTCTAAGCAGAGCGATATCGCAACTCAAAGTTGCTTGATAATCAACTACCGTCACGCAATGTGCGCTTGAAAACTAAAAGGGGGGAAAGGTCTATTGAAGAAGGCCCTCTATAGTAGACGTATACGATGGAATTAAAAATCACTATTGGAGATTGAACAGCCGGTATGTACAGGATATACAGATTCCGCTAGTGATCCTTAGTGTCCATGCATGCTGCGGCGTTATTTTGAAACCATACACTGCATACTGTTGTTCTATATTCTATAACTTATATATATATATATATATATATATTACTCGTTGTTATCTTCATTGTAGTGTATCTCACTAAACCAGTTTTCAACACAACTGGAACTTTGAAGGTTTCTGTAAAAATTAATAAAAATCAGTACTGATTATAATGTAAATTGCCAGCATCTCAATTTTTTCAAGTTTCGTCAACGTTCAATTCACATAAGAACAATCGTGCTTGCAAAATAATACAAAGACGACGCTCAGGTTAATCCAAACCTTCCTTACTATATGCGTGTAAATGCAATTTATATCTTTCTCTTTTATTCTTAAGGACAAGAGCGTCAGTGGAAGTGTTTTATTTATTTTACTTGATTATTAACAGGATTAGAAAATATTTAAGATAACAGCTAAAAAAGACCCCTATTAACTTCCTGTAATCGTGGCTCGTCGCGGCATTTGATTGGAGCAACTTTTTTGGCGATAAACAAAAAGTTGTTTTTTTTATTGACCAATGAATTTAATAATGCTCTAGTCGAGTAATTGTGATTGGGAAATAGAGCGTTGCGGACTTTTCAACGAACATCTGCAAATATTTTATGAACTGCGTCAATCGATTGAAAAATGCGAGCAAATAAATTAGCTGATGTTTTTCGGAACGTTCCTTTTCTTTCCGCAAATGTATTAAATGCATGATGATTCCTCAAAGAATTTTCTGGATCCGACTTTTGTTTATTTAAAGAAAATAGTTAAAAGTAATAAATGAATATTGAATTTATTTAGATATACTTACTTGGTCTTGTAGAGGGCGTTGCGTTGTCGTGGTCAATATTTATTGGTTCTAACTGGTCTAAAGTTTTTGCATAAAGGGGTAAAATAAATGCCATTTGTGAAGACAAAATTGTCGAAATGACTATAAAATTGACTATATAACTTGGTAACGGAATTGCACTATAGCATAGTAAAGTTTACTGAGCCATTTAACTTATTTACTGCGGCAATCCATATCGATTGGTGTAGCTATTGATAACAGCATTTGTACTGTGAAATTAACTGAAATATTATGACATGATTATGCATGCATTTACCCAACGAAAATTCATTGAATTTACTAAGTCACACCTGGTTTAGTTGCATCATGTTCCGTAGAACTTGTATCTGAGTCTTGAAATAAAGTAAAGAAGTAATTTAGAAACATTTTGTTAAAAACATTGATTGGATCTTGTAATTTATAGAAATGTGGTAGGTCGTTGCAGGAGCCAATTATGAATGCGACGAAAATAAATGTACCATAAATTTTAGCGTATAAGTAGCTGTTCAGGACAAATGAATAATTCAAATTGCAGCCTTTGTCTGTTTTTTGCATTTGAACCACTATACGCTTTTTTACTCACCAGACGGAATATAGTAAATGTTGTTGATTGTATTGAGTTTGTTACATTCCTTTAAAAGTGTGCCGCCGTTTATCGCGAGTGTCTTTCGACTTTCCTTGTCGTATGCCGTAATGAATGCTGTTGACATGCAATCATCTGTCATATTAAATGTATATTCTCCACCAACCGATACATATATTATTGGATTAGCCAAGCCCTTAGCAGGAATGATGATTGCAATACTGATGATTTTAGCATGACGGTTCCTTAATGTGAAATACCAACGGAAAAGTACTAAATAACAAAATTGATACAGAAGAAAACGTTAGATTATACGAAATCTCGTCTTCCAACCAGAACAAAAGCCACTAAGCTGATATACCTCGCATATGAACTATTACATCTTTCGTCTTTAGATATCAATGCTGTTGTAGATAAGCACGTTGTATTTTCCAACTCAACTATAGTATTATTTAATTATTCAGTATATTATTGCTATTATTATTTACTGTTTAGCCAGTTTAGGAGGTACGTACTGAAAAAATTAAATATTCCTGAGGTCACAGAAGCGGTTAGGCAAAAAACTGAAACTGAAAGATTTGCAAGTACGGACCGACCAAACGGAAAATAACGTATAAGCCCATAAATTCATTGTAGCCACGAAAAAATTTTGCTGCTAACTTTAGAGAATAAAGTCATTTACATTTCGTAATTAACGAAAATAACTAAACTATACCTTGTTTCATCATGTTAGTAGGTGTTATTGTAGTATTCTCCATAGTAGCTTGATTTGTTGACGCTGAAACTCGATAAAATGAATTAAAATATTATATATTGAAGGACAAAACAAGTTTTCCGAATTCCATAATGTATAATGTATCTTCATTCCCCTAGAGGTGAGTAAGAAAAGAGCCTACTTGAATATTTTTCATAAAAATATATTCTGTAATTAGTTTGTAATGACGTAGAAAGCCGATCCATCAACATATCAGTCACATCTTTTACAGATACCTTCAGTAGCATAGCCAGCCTAACGATTTGTCCCGCTATGCTAATTTTGTTGTTCATTGACTGTGAAAACAATAAATTTCTAAGGAAATGAATAGTTATAATAACTCGAAATTTACATAGCGGGACCAAATCGTCAGGCTGGCTACGGCTACGAAACTGGATACCTTTAGGAAAAATGCAATTTGAGTCACAACTTGTCTCAACGGGGACATCAGTTGCAGGATTTGTCTTTCCATCTGGTACTGCGGTTGGAGATTCTGTTATCACTTCAGGAGCTTTTGTTGTCGCTTTAGAAGAAGCAGTTGATACTTTTGTTGTCGCTTCAGGAGAAGGAGTTGTTACTTCAAGGGGTTCTGTTGTTACTTCAGAAGCTTTGGTTGTCCAATCAGGAGCAGCAGTTGACACTTTTGTTGTCACATTCGTAATTTTTGTTGCCACACTAGGAGCTTTTGTTGTCCCTCCAGGTACTTTGCTTGTCCCTTCAGGGGCTTCTGTTGTCACACGAGGAACTTCTGTAATCACGTGAGGAACTTCTGTTACCACATGAGGAGCTTCTGTTATCACATGAGGAACTTCAGTTACCACATCAGTAACTTCTGTTATCGTATGAGGAACTTCTGTTATCACATGAGGGACATTTGTAGCTAATTCAGGATCTTCGGTTGTCACATAAGGAACTTCTGTTAACTCACGAGGGACTTCTGTAGCAAATTCAGGACCTTTTGTTGTCACATAAGGAGGCTCTTTTGTCACAAGAGGAACTTCTGTTGTTAAATAAGAAACTTCTGTTGTCACACGAGAAACTTCTGTTTTCACTTCTGGAACAGCAGTTGATATTTTTTTTGCTACATTTGAAGAATCGGAAGCTGTCTTAGCTTGTGGTTTTATTGCAACAGCAGCATCAGTTGGTGCTCGTGTTCTTTCAGCAGGGGCATTAGTCGGAGCTTTCATTTTCACGAGAGAAAAAATTTAATTTGAAATTATTGTAATTAATTGTTTACGGAAAATTGAAATGTATTGTTTACGGAAGCGAGGAAAAGCGTTACTATAAAAAAATGCACGAGTTACTATAAACAAATGCTTTGCAATCCCTGTATTTTATTCCCCCTTCCTCACAATTTTTTTGTTGGTAAGATGTCAATTTCGCATATGAATATAAAAGAATCTTAAATCAAATCACCTAAATCAAAATCGGAAGAGCATCAGTTACCCACGGAGCTTGTGTTACTGCAATAGAACCAAGATAAACAAAGGGCTACGCAGGATTGTGTTTAGCTACTTTACCCGTCGCGAGCCTAGTCAACTTGTTTTCTACCCATGCAACTAAATGTAAAGATGATTTTTGTTGCCACAAAAACTTCCATCTTTGTGAATGTGGGTAAATAAAATTTTGACTACTTCCTTTGAAAACGCTCATTATTTTCCATTTTACACGAAGTATTACAAAATTAGGCATTCTGATTGGCCTGAAAAATACAACAAATATGCTTCGTTTTGCATATTCACACTGTAGCTCCTGTATGATAGCTAGCCTGCAACAATCTTCTCGATATGTTTCGCGGCCGTTTTTTAAATTAAAGGTTTCAACCAATAGCATTTTGCGGTCTGTCACGGGCGAGACAAAATACCCCGTAAGGTTATCGTTTTGGAAACTTGTCCCGGGTAAGGTTATCGTTATGGAAACCCGCTTGACTGAAAAGCACTCTATGAGTCGCGTACGTTTTGTCGGGTCATTAATTGTCGAAATTTATTATTGTTTTTCTACTAATTTATAAAACATCAGCAAATTTCATGATTTGAAAACTTTTTTGGTTTTCACATCTCACGTTTTTCGGCTTAAATAAAGCATAGATAAAGTGCCCGTGCATTTTTACCGCCAGAACGAAAAAAAATCGGCGTGTAAATGGCCCGCAGCCCCTTGTTCATACTTTCTCATAGGAATATATTCAAAATATTCCTTCATGCTCTTAGCCGGAATGGATTTACTCAGAGGTTTTTTAAAACATGATTTGGACGGTAGAATTTGAATGTCAGATTCTTTTATTATACAATATACAGTGTTTTATTGACGAATCCGCCATTTTGAAAAGGGATATAATACATGTGCGATTATTCATGATAATAACACATGTGCGATTATTGTGTTTGATCCATCGAATCAGGAAGGGGGGATAAAAAACTTTTCAAAAAACCCAGTTTTTTATTATATAATAAACAGAATGATACATGGATGCTTGAAAATAAGGAATTTATTTCTCGTGTAGAGAAAGATGTCTCACTCATTCGCTGCGCACACTTAGCATTGTAGATGTGGTTACATGCGAGCTTGGTTGCTACATGTGACAGAATATAAATTGTTATATAATATGCCGTGTTTTATTGGGTAACTCCACCATTATGAAAAGCGATAATAACAATGTCACATGCATGTGCGATTATTTGATAATGTTGATTATCGTGTTTGATCAACCAATCAGGAATCAGATATACGCGCCCTGGGGGAAAAAACTTCTAATAAAAACAGATTTATCTTATATAATAGAAACAAAAATACATGGATGCTCGAAAATATGGAATTTAATTCTCATGTTCTCGTTCACTGCGCTCACACGTTTGATATCATTTTCAACACTCGAAATAAATTCCATATTTCCGCGCATCCATGTAAAATTCTCTATAAATACCTGCATCAGTGGGAACTCTTTTTGGAATAACAAGGACGTCAGTGAGAGCTTTTATTGTTGTAGTCTTTTTTCTATTTCTTCTTCTTTGGTTTTTTCTTCTTCTGTTTCTTCTTTTGTTTATTCTTGTTTTTCTCTTTTTGCTTCTTTTTGTCGTTAATACAGCCACATGAGTAGGTGCTTTTGTCGTTAATACAGCCACATGAGTAGGTAGTTTTGTCGTTAATACAGCCACATGAGTAGGTGCTTTTGTCGTTAATACAGTAGCATCACTTGGTGATGTTGTTTTTAATACAGAAGTTACAGTAGGAGCTTTGTTTGTTGTTATAGACACATCAGTTGCTGGCGCTTTCGCTGTTCCAACAACATGATCAGTAGTTTTGTTGCTTTTATAGGAGCATCAGTTGTTATAATTTCCGCAGCTTTAACAATACAGAGTAGAATTTATGTATCTAGTAACCTATCTATCTAACTCGGGGCCAATAAGCGAAGCGCAATTTTTATCTAATTCATTTCATTAAGACCATTTGGTAATTTGTCAATATAATGTAATAATTTTAGGCCTATGATTAGGACATATTCAGGGACAGGAGGAGTAGAATCCGAATGAAAGCGCTAGTTAAATTATAACAACATATGTATAACCGTAGGCGTGGCATAGCATCAGGATGTAAAGTACGAATCGCCAAGTATGAACTAGACAAATACTAAACAATTTTCTACATTTTTTAAACAATTTTTATCGATATAAATGAAAGCATTTGTAAATATTTTATTCATTTTATGATAACATTTTTCTAAACGATATTAGACAGTTAAATTCAATACGTTTTGCTGTTGATATAGTTGTTGTGAGTGATGGCTCGGATTGCATGGATGACGGAATTAATGCCCCAAATTTTAAACTCACCTGAAGGAATATAGTAAATATGACTGACTGGTATCGAACTACTTATTAAAATCAAGGAGTTCTTTCCGTTTATCTCATGTGGCCAAAAAGACGCTGCATCGTACGCTGCGACGTATATCGGTACCATTTTAAAGGACGTCGACACTATTTGATATCTTCCACCGCCAGGGATGACGAACTTCTGGTATTTTCGCTCAGAATGGGTTGATATAATTCTAACATCTCTTTTGTAGTGGTTCACAAAAGTGACATTCAAATGGTAGGGGTCTGAAATATCTGCAAAAAAATATACAATTAAAACGCGTACTACAGGGTGTATAAAAAAACTGCAACCCCATTCCCAGGGGCCAACGATCTTTTGTTATTGAATATACACCCTGTATATAGATTTGAGTAGAGGGAGAAGGTAGGGCGTATACGCCATTTTTTCGCCAGTTATTGTACCTTCATTAATTATTGTCACTGCATGTATATAATCACTGGATATATAGCTGTATACGAATCCCTGACATCTGTTCGCAAAATCCACAAATTCACAGACAAATATTGAAGCGTCATTTACAAATCGGTAGCAATGCAACACTACTGACATAAGAATTTGAAGTTTAGAATATGTCGGTATGACATCAAGTTCTATATTAATTAAAGAAGAATGACAATGATATCTTGGATCATTTAATATTTTCCGTTATAAAAAGAGAACGAGAAAAAGTCCCACTCAGCGGTGTTTTTTATCCAAAAATACGCAATAAACTTGCCAGGTGGCGGAGCAGCCACCTATGATACAACATGTTTACTGGCTAAAACATGTCAACGACTGGCTAGGAAGATGACGGAACTATACATTCACTTGAAAAGTTCCGATTCAAGTGGCTCTTCTGGTGCACTCACTATTCTAACTGACTAAACTGAGTTAGGCAAATATATATTTGCACGAAAATTTAAAGAAAGTCCTCTTCTCTCGATTTTTTTTTTTGAGACATTCGTCACTTTTGCAACCCGGTAGATCCAATAAGCTTAAGACCTCCACTATACAATAAACCTGCCAGGAGGCCGAGCAGCCAACCCATGATACTCCGTTTTTACTGGCCAAAACATGTCATCGACTGGCTAGGAAGATGGCGGAACACACACGTAATGCGACTAGCTCATAAAAAGTGTGAGCTTTATTGTCATCTACATAGGCACAATGTATATAACGTCATTTTTATAATTATATTGTCTGCTATATGATAATAATGTCATTGCAATCATGGTTTCCACAACATAAATTGCTGTCTATATATACGCAGAAAATACCCAATGGTATAACCTACAGTAATACCTACTGTTAATTTAATGTTAACATTTACAGGAGTACCTTAAATTTGCGCTTATATGTGAAGTTGGTTGCCATTAGCAATGACTTTTACACTGACGTTTCTTAAAGTTGACTATTCCTAGTGCGCGAAGCAACAATTTGGTTTTCTTAACTCCAAAAATCACACTACACTGAGTTGACTAAGGAGAAAGTTTATATTATGTATAATTGACCGATGGAGTTATACCTGATCGTGCCTCAATGAAAGTAAGAAAAATCCCAATCCAAATCCATATTAGACATAGCATGCTTCCCTCCTGTTTCGATTTGTATTTCGTTTTCCTAACAACTTCACTGTGGGTCAGATAATCATTTAAACAATTTGTTTATATCATTTGTAGTGAAAAACTAGAAAATAGAATAACCACTAATATCGTAAGTATATAACATAATGGCTGATCGTTAGAACACATGTAAACACTTCAAACCGGAATGTCATTATTTCATCAACTTCCTCCCTTAGATATTCGGCTAATTCTTTCAATCCACAAGCGATACCACATGCAGCCAAACGACATGCTGCCAAAATATATCACCTAAACCTAAATGTATCCAATCATGTCGTACAAGCAAAAAATTATTTAATGGTGCATGGAATTACAAAACTCTTAATATATATATAACCATGGTTGTTAGTCGTTTTGCATGCAAACACTGAATATGAAAATAGCGTTGCCCCGAAGTGACGTGCAAGCATGCAAAGTGAAACTTTCAGTATCATTTGGAGAGGGAGGAGACCGAAGAGTTGGCACCGCTTGTTAACTGAGAAGACGACCCGATGAGACTTCAAAAGAGTCCACTCAGGTCTCTCTAGCCTGAACGTTTGAGCTTGGTTATACGACGGGATTTGTACAGTGATATTTAATTAAGAAAAGTTCGGGAGCAC